TATATATATATATATATATATATATATATATTCTCACATTCCTCTAGATGTATAATGTATCTGTACTATCCATGTATATATATATGAATCATGCATCCGTACTGCATTTCCGGTAGCTATTTTAAGGCTGAGAGTATCCAGCGCTCAGAGACAGAGATTTTAGATTCAGCTGTAAATGGCTATATGACCCACTCCTCACAAATTTTTAAAGCCCACAAGGCTTGTTCTAATGAATAGTCCATCTTTGCTGCTGATAATAATCTTCTCCTTATTTACCTACTCATTAAAACCCTTGACTGCTTTCTTATTTTTAATTCACGTGCATTTCATGAAAGGTCACCAGGTCGGGGACAATGATTGGATTTTGATATGCTAAGGAACAGAAAGGACTACGATTATCTTGAGAGGAACAGTCTTTTCCCTCCGAAAAAAAAAAATTCTACCTTGATTTTATTAGGATACAAACAAACTTCCACAAATATCTAAATGCTGATAATAATTAGGGAAAAAATGCAGACAATACGATTGGTTATGATTAAATAATGTATGACGTGACTTAATAATGATTAAATCCTACATTCATACCCAATTAGTGAAGGAAGTGATTAACACCAACTTGAAAGGGGAAAGATAATAAAAGTGTTGTTGAAATTTGAGTATCTATTTATTCATTGATGATTTCATTGAATCAATGTGCACGGTTTGAATAAATTTAATTTTTAAGCTGATGGTAAGAATTTTCATATCTGTGTTGCAATGTGAAATCTCTCTCTTTAGTTATTTATATATACACACTGGCCTTAATTTTATTCAGCTCGCAAGTTGTCTTAGTTTGAAATGGCCTTTGGTTTTGCAGAGGATTCTGCAATGCTGCTGATGTTGAAGCATTTACTGAAGAGAAGAAACAGTCTTTTGCCAAACGTCAAGGAAAGGCTGGCGAATTTGCTCGTGCAGTGAACGAGTTTATTGAAATTTATGAAAAATTGAAGAGAGAATACAAATGATGACACTAGTCACTAGCTCTGGTGAAGTTGCTATTGTGCCTACTGTCAACATAAAAAACATATGGGGGCAATGAACTAGATTCTTCCTTGAAATTACTATGTTAGTTGATTAATTAATTTGTAGCATATTTTGTAGTTTAGATTTTATATCATAATGTTAGATGTTCTAAGTTGGTAGATGTAATGATTATCCGTTGAGAACTCATTGATATATGGTCTAAAATTGTAAATAAACTGTTTAGTATATATATTATTATTGCATTTGCAGGTATGGAAATATCCTAAAATAAATTTGTTATTTAAAAAAGTTGCAAATACAACATCGGCACGGTGAGAATAACGTTTAAGATTAATGTATAAAAAATATTTCCCTCTTTAATTTTTTACATAAAAATAGGATAAGGTTTATTTCCCTCTTTAATTTTGAATAATATTTTTAAGATGTATGTATAAAGAAAATGAGAAATAAAAAATAATTATACAGAATATCAAATAACATATTAATTATTTAAAGTTTAAAGCGACTCCTTTTTATAAACCTAGATCCGTGTACAAACGTATAGTTCCTCTTCAGCTAAGACTAATAAACGATACCGGCATGTTATTCACTCATACAATTTTCATGTAATAACTCAAAGTCTCAAACCAGTCATAGTGCTGATGTAAAGTATTTGCATGATCCGTTTATCAAACATTCATAGGCTATCTTCGCCTTCATCATTTAACTTTCAAACTTGAGAGCTGACTTTGAAGAATTGAAGTTTGAAAATGAAGATAAATATTTTCTTTCTCCCCAAACTTACTACTGTACACGCGTTGTCATGTGAACGTACGAGACTACGAGTGGCTTTTTTTCAGATCAACGAGTCCAATTATCTTATGTCAAAATTCAAGCTGTTATGGTGAGAAAATGGGTTCAATATTTATTGTATGCCCACCAAAGAATAAAACAATTTTTGTTAGAGAGGAGGCTTTACGGATTTACTGCATGTTATTAAAATGAAGAAATTTTTTAGCTTAAAGTTTTGCAAAAACGGAAGAGCTGTGAATGACTATTTATTTAAATTTTACCTATGATGGAATCATGATCCACAAGGAATAGCCCTTTTCCCAATGCCCATTTGTCCAAGCTCAGGTAACGTCTGATGCTTGGCTTGCATTATCTTGTGACACTGACATAGTTAAGCTGTGGCTTAACCATAGCAGCGCAAATGGCAGCAACCTGTCACAGGTTTAAGCCTCGAAGTTTCCTTCTCCAACTCAAACATTCTTAGAATAGTGAATTTAAGAACTCAATCCTACAAAACTGGCTTATAAAATGAAGGTTGCTTTCCACTTATCTTGTGAATAAGAGCCCTCATGCCCATGGTGCATATATCAATGAATGGTAGGTAACCCATTTTTAAGAATCTAGGATAGTTCCATCTTAGAATAATGAATTTGAGCCTAACTCAACCCTACAAAACCGGCTTGTAAGGTAAGGGTTATTTTTCACTTATATATTATTTAATTACCTAATCTCTAATCGATGTGGGACTTGAGTTTTTCCCAATACATCCTCTCACGTCCAACACTATTGGACATGGTACATAAATATATAAATGGCAAGTGACCCTTTTTAATGATCTAGGATTGGCGGAACTTGAGTTTTTCTCGATAAACATATCCAATCATTCTACTTTTATATTTCCTAGAAATAAAAGATATCTAGGTGACAGAAGAAAACGTTGTATTATATATGTAATTGGAGTTTAACTGAATAATAATAATAATATATAATTATTGCAAGACATGCATGTTTGAATCTCATATAAAAGCATCAACAAGTTCAGAAGTTGAGGGCCAAGTTCTTTCGTTTTGTTTGGTGGTTTTCTATTTTATTTTATTTTATTTTTACCTGAGT